CATCCCAATTTCCCATCATATCCCAATTTCCCATGCCATCCCAATTCCCCATCCACATCCCATCCCATCCCATCCCATCCCATCCCATCCCATCCCATCCCATCCCATCCCATCCCATCCCATCCCATCCCATCCCATCCCATCCCATCCCATTTCCCATCCCATTTCCCGTCCCATCCCGCAGAAGGACCACCCTGCTGAGGAAGAGGAGGCTGCAGGGCAGGAGGGGAGGCAGGCAGTGCTGCTCCCTCCCCGTGCAGGGCTGCTCCACGTCCAGAACCTCCTGCCAACAACCACTGCTCATCTTAATTGGTGTTTGACTCGATTGGGCACGACCAGCCCCTCGTAGAGCACCTCGGGATGTGTCTGTGTGTGAGGCTGTCCTGGAAACGCTGCTCTATCCTATTAGTGACCCTCTGCTGCAACAGAGCAGCGGCACATTCATTGGGAGCCCGATTCCCTGGGCACAGCAGCAGCACCGGCCTGATCCAGGAGCATCCCGGGGCTGCAGGCTGGGCTGGGCTGGGCTGGGCTGGGCTGGGCTGGCCTGGCTGTCCCCAGGGGTGCTGCTGTCCTCCCCAAGGGGTGCTGCTGTCCTCCCCCAGGGGTGCTGCTGTCCCCAAGGGGTGCTGCTGTCCTTCCCCAGGGGTGCTGCTGTCCTTCCCCAGGGGTGCTGCTGTCCTCCCCCAGGGGTGCTGCTGTCCCCGAGCTGGGCGCCCTGCATGCAGCACAGCTCGGTGGGAGTTGCTAAACACTCCCAGCACTCACTGTTCTCCCCCATTGCCTTCCCCAGCCCCGTCTTCCTCGTGTGCTGGGAATGCATTTCCATATCCGAGTGGCCACGGGTGCTGGGAATGCATTTCCATATCCGAGTGGCCACGGAATGTTCCCTGTGATGCTATGATGCTATTGTCTCCTGGGGGGGGCGGGGAAAATTGCAAAGCACTTGGTGTTTAACACCCACATATGGTTAACACCACGGGCTGTGTGCTGATAAAGAGGGGGTAATTAAAGTTTATTTTTTTTTTATAGACTAATCTCCCAAGCATGTATTTATGAGCCTGATTTAGAAACAGCATATTACTGAGAACACAGGATATTTGTGTTGCTCATAAATCCATACGTGGTCTGAACACACCTTTTCCCTTTTTTTTTTTTTTCCCTTTCTTTCTCTTCTCCCCCCTTAAATTTAGGCAGTACTGCCAGTATTAAGAAGAATTGAGCCCAGAGTTTTGTTGGGTTTTTCCCCCCCTCCTTGTCTTTTGGGCGGGCAAAGGAAAGTGTACAAAGCAGTGAGTAATTAAATACACGAGGAAATGATATTTCAAAGGAGACACGGTGCGTTTGGAGGGGCTGTTTGCTGAGTGTTTACACCAGTGCCTTTGAATTTATCTTCATCTTGCAGCAGGTGCAAAATCTTCAGGGGGATGTGGTGCTTTGCAAGCCGTTTCTGAGCAGGAACTCACATCCTCACCAGGATAATTTGCACTGGGGTTTGAGGGGAGACAAAGAAATCCTGAGTGGGGAAGGTGGTGGTGGCCAGAGTCTTCTGAGCAGGGTGCTGGACGCTCCTCTTGTTTTCCAGTTTAGTGAAGCCACCCTTGGATCACCAGCAGGGAGCATGTCAGCCAGGATTCTGCCCTGAAATGGAGCACCTTGCCTTTCCTTCCTGCTTCTCTCTCCTTGGCTTTTGTGGGCTGTGGGGAGAAGTTACTTCTCTCTAGACAGAAGTAATTTATTCCTATTTTTCATCCTGGTGGTGTGCCCTGCCCACTGCTTGGGTGCAGACTCCCTGGGAATCCCCATGGTCCACGTTTTCCCTTCAAAACTGCCTGAGTGAGCGCTTGGAAATCCACTCACTTTGTTGCAACCTCTCAGAACACTACAGAAACATCTTTGAGTAAAGCTATAGAGAGATCATCTTAATGTATGAAGCATTTATTAGGGGAGAGAGATCTGGGGAGTGAGTTTGGTCTCAGCCACGTCTGGTTACCATCTTCCTCCTGGGATTTTTGGACCCCACAAGACCCTAACCAGGACTTCTGTTGGGTGCTGGGGCTCTCAACCATCCATAAAGGTCTTGTGTTCTCCACCCAGCTTCCTCCTCTTGGTAAAGGACATTGATACCAGATTGTTTGGTGCACCTGGAGTTGCAAATCTGCTCTTCAAACACTTCCCTGAAAGGCTGGAGATGACAAGGAGAGGAGGGAAAGCCCAGGTTTAGCCAGGTCAGCCTCTCATTTATGGCACTGGGTTTATTTGGAGCTGCCTGAGCTACTGAGCTGGGTTTGGATCTCCTCGCTGGGCTGAAGAAGGAAGGGATCAGTTTGTCTCACCTCTGGAGCAGGGTGAAGCCCTGGAGAACCTGCTGAGGTGGGTTTGGTTAGCAGGGCCTTGCTGAAAATACATTTGCTTGTGGTTTTAAAGGTTTGGAGTGAAGCTGATTATGTCCAGAGAGGTGTTTAAATGCAGCACAGCAGTGCTGGAGCATCAGTGGTCTGCAGAGCAGGGAAAGAGATAGAAAACAAAAGCCCAGTCCCTCTCTTTAAATGCTTTTCCAGCAGTCTCCCTTGAAACCTGGCAGCTAACCGGTCGTGAACAATAAAGAGCTGAGCTGGAAACTCAATTTCTGCTCGAGCAGAAGCCCCCTTGTTTTGGTTCAGTTGGTCGAAACCAAACATCAGGCACTTCCAGAGGTCAGTGATTAGCAGTGATGGAAATGGGAGAGTGCAGGAGGGAAGGGACTTACAGAAGACTTGGAGCAATTGTCCCTTTCCTTGAGCAGCCAAGCTCAAACTCATGGAATGTAAAAGGATTTTTGCTGTCTCAAGCCCCTGTGCTGCTCTCCTGTGAGTCACAGGGACAGAAGAAGCCACATGGACTGATGGGGCTGTGAAATCCTAATTCCTCCAGCTCCTCTCTGGCTGCAGTTTGGTGAAAGCTGCCATCATACCTGGGATTTGGGCTCTTTGTGAAAAGGGGATAATACTTGTCTCACTCATAAGGGATTTATGATTTAATGTTTGCAAAGCACTTTAAGACCCTGGATTGAAAGGTGATTTATAAGGGTGAAATCCAGCGTTGTCTGGTCCATTGTATATTTGATTTGTCCACTTATCCTCATGGGGACTTCTTTTCCTTGCCTTTTTTTTTTCCTTTCCCTCCCCCCTCTTTTTTCTCTTTTGCATTCACGTCATAACTTCAAGCCAAGCAGGGGTTGTGGCAGGCACAGTGTGCCCAGCAAGAGGAGGATTTTGCCTCCCATGGAAGTGCTAACTTATGCTGATGATATGAATAAAGATTGGAAAAGAAAAAAGAGGATTGCAAGGTGAGGGGCACAGGGGATTGGTGATAAAGCTGTGAAATAGGAGTGGGATGACTGTTTAGATGATCCATGCATAAGGAAAGGAGAAGATGCTTCATAAATAATCAATTTGCTTGCTCCTGTTGTTCTCAGTGATGGGGGTATTTTCCAGCAGATCAGCCACTTCTGTCCTACAAATCCTGGTTGGAGCATCCCCTGTGCAGGCTCCAGCCTGGGGGTGTGTGGTGGGGCTGGGTGCCCTGCCTGGAAAGGAGAGGTTGTGCTGAGCATGAGGTCCCTGGCCTGGCACCAGCACCTCCAGCAGCAGCTTTAAGCAAATCACAGAGGATGAAAGTGCTGACTTGGATCCATTTCCAATTCAGTTTTCAAACTGATGCTTTTTAAATCTCACTTTGCTGATGAGGTGATGAGGGCTGGAGTGCAAGTGGGGAGAGGCTGCTTCCCAAAATCAAGAGGTGTCCTCACCTGAATCCTGGGCAGGGCTGTGGTCTCCTCTGCCAGCAGCTGGGTCATCTCAGCCTGCACCAGAATGGGCTGTGCAGCCTCTGGGTTCATTCCTGAGCTGTGCCCTCTCCTTGCCATGGACACACTCTCCCAGCGGTGCATCCCAAGCCCTGGAGAAGGAACCTTGTGGGCTGTTCATTGTTATCTTGGAGCCGAGGGGGTGCTGGCACAAGGTGTGGGGTGAGGGGGCCGTGGGGGATGCAGTGCAGTCAGAGCAGCAGCGGGGCAGCCCCCAGGTCCAGGGGGATCAGTGGTGCCTCAAGGATGCAGGCTCCAAGCACTCCTTGCTTGGGCAGTGGAGACCTGTTGGTGGTCTGGGACAGTTCTTTGTCATCTCCATCAGTAGAAGGGGTCTCATTTGGACACCTGACATTCCCAGTCTGCATCCAATAAGAGCAGCTGAATCTCCTGAGGCAGCCAGGTCTCTCTGTGTTGCACAGCTTCCCCACATTCCCCATGAAACTTGGGGATTCTGTCCCACCCAGCTGCTGTTGGTGGTGATTCAGCCATCCTAACGCTGTCCTGCCCCACGAGGGTTTCACAGTGGGTTGCTAAGCCAACAAACATTGACAAAAAGTGATGGTGGTGTCAGCAGGGGAGCACGGCAAGGTGTGGTGAGTGACTCCAGGGAGGAGAAATTCCCAGGGAGAGGGTCTATACAGGGCTTTGAGCAGGGTTTTTTGAGAGGCCAAATGAAGCCCTGTTGCTACAAGACACGTGAAGGCACGACGCAAGCCGCTGCTATTGCAAAGGTGAAAAAGAGGAAGTTTATTTTCTGCCTCCAGCATTTATACTTTTCCAAAGGTGACAGTGGATTGGAGGGTGAATGTGCCACCTCTCCAATGACATTGGACAAACTACCAGTACATCAAATTTCTCAGTTTTTATGGAGGAATGCAAAACAATAGATTGTTTACAGAAAGTTGTGTGAGAAAGCTCTCTACAAGAATGTAAACTCAGAAGGCTTTAGAAAATCTTAAGAATCAGGGCGACAAAGCCCTGTGCCAAACAACGTGTGATGGGAGCCCTGGCGTGTGCAGACTCCTGCTGAGCTCCCATCCTGGTTTTCCATGCCTGCCTTCCCCGTGCTGGTGCTCCCCTGCCTGTGCTGAGAAACCCTGGGTGCAGCTTTCCCTTCTGGCCCCCACCCACCCCTGTGTGTGCCTTGCAGGTTCCACGAAGAGCCCTGTGAACAAGACGGCGCTGACGCTGATCGCGGTCAGCTCCTGCGTGCTGGCCGTGGTCTGCGGCTCCCAGCTCTCCTGCCCGCTGACCGTCAAGGTGACGCTCCACGTCCCCGAGCACTTCATCGCCGATGGTAAGACCCTCCTTCTGCCCCTCTGGGTGTTTGGGATGTGGAGATCCCTCTCTTTAGGAATGCCCCAGCTGTGTTTGACTGCAGGGAGCTCCCGTTCCACAAGCGCATCTGCGGGCCTGAGGCAAAAATCTCAGTCGTGTCAATTAATATTATTGTTGTTAGCATTGGTGCTAATTGTGTCTGATGGATATTTCTGTTCTCCTCCAAACTCGGTGAGCAGCCCTGGGAGCTGCACAGGCAGGCAGCAGCAGAGCTGCTCGTCCTGCAGCAGCTGAGCTGCTCATCCCAGCCCTTGCAGCAGTATTGAGGGAAATTGCTGGGGTTTGAGCAAAGGCAGAGATGCTTTGATAAATTAGACAAGTGCTGCTGTCACTATTTATTGCTTTCTCCAACTGGGCTCCTTGCATTTGTTGTGTTTCACTGACCTTTTCTTTATAATGTGCAGTGAGCGTCGAGTGCAAGTTTTCAGTAACATGAGGGCAAATTTCATTTTCTTCCAGCAGACAGGACCCATTATTCAGTCGGTTCCAATTCCTCAGCTCCTGCACTCATCTCACTGCTTGGGGCATGCAGAGGGGGCACTTCCTCTCCGCCAGAAACATGCAGCCAATGCATCACCAGCTGCTGGGGTGTCCTGGTGCAGCCAGCTCTGGGACAGCCCCCTGCTTTGGGAGCTTTGGAGTGGAGGGCAGCTCTTGGGGGATTAATATTTTGGGGAGGGGGAGATGGTTAAAGACACACAGTGGCATAAGAGCGGCAGGGACCGGTGGAGAGGGGCTGCAGTCATCACCCCATGGCAGAATGGGAGTCACCAGTGTGTTTGAAGTGGGATTAGCCCTCCTAAGGGTGGTCTCTGGGTAGCTGGGAGAGCCCAGTGGTCACAGCTTGGCCCTTGTAGGAAAGAGGAGAAGAGCATTTACTTTTTGTTCACACGTTGGAGGACCTGAACACCAGTGCAGTTGGAGACATGAAGATAACATCAAGGTGTGGATATCACATCCCTGGAAGTGCTCAAGGTCAGTTTGCATGGAGCTCTGAGCAACCTGGTCTAGTGGAAGGTGTTTCTGCCCATGACAGGGGGTTGGAACAAGAGGTTGCTTAAGGTCCTTTCCAAGCAAAACCATTCTGTGATTTAAGAATTTGAAGGATTTGCCTACACTTTGACATTTTTCTAAAAAGTTTTAATGATTGTCCAAGCCACACATGAATATTTGAAATCTTCACAGATGGTTCCAAGTAGCTAGAGAACAGAAACTCCTGCATTTGGGGGATGAGGTTGCTCCAGTGGTAACTTGTGTCCCCTTGGGATGGGCACTGGCCAGTTCAGCATTTGGACTGGGAGCTCACACTGGTTCTGGTACTTGCTGAAGGTCAGCCAGGAAGGCAGGGATGGAGACAGGACCTCAGCATCCTGTTCCCAGCTTGTGGTTCTGGCCCAGGAAAGAGAGTGTGTCCTGCAAAAGAAAATAAACAAAATGCAATGAGACTCCATAGAATGCAAGTGGAAAGCTGAACCTGTGCTTGTCACCAGGAAAGAGGTGGCAATGGAAATTACACAAATACAGGGAACACTCGAATGAAAAAGACAATGAAATACCAATAAAGCAGATTAATATCCTTGAAACTGGGAGAAATAGGATGATCTCCAGTCCCGACTTAATGACTTTTCTGAAGAGAAAGTGGCAAGAGGACTGGTAACAACGGTTTGGAGAAGAATTAAAATGAGCTTGGTAATGAAACTGTAAAATATAATTACAAACTGCGAAAACTTTTAAAATATTTTTTATGAGAAGCAGTCAAATTCTTCACATAGAAGCAGCCAAGACATTTTGCAGTGGCTATCACTTTCCCTGAAATCTCAGCATTTTATGCGATGACAGTCTCTTGCCTGGGAAGAGAAAAAGCTCTTGAAGTTGTCCCTTCTTTCTGAATAACAACAAATCCCAAGACACCACACAACTGGCAGCAAAATATTACAAAGCATTTAAAGACATCGCAGAACTGAGCTGGGTTGGGAAATTTCAACGATACCCAGGAAAAGTGTGGCTGGATGTGTTTGCCAAGGCTCCACACCTGCAGTTTGGTGCTGATGGAGAAGAGCGGACCTGCTCCTCCCTGGAGATCTCCCGTGGAGGATTAAATCTGCTTTTTACAGGCTGCTGAAGGGGCTTGGCATCAGCATCCCTGTGGCATCGAGGTGACAACAGAGCTGATGTATTTGGCCTGGCAGAGTTTGGGAGCTTTGATCAGTCTTGAAGCAGCTTCTGGTGTGGCACCCGGCAGTGGCACCGTGTCTCGCGAGTGTCGCCGCGCGCTGAAATCGTCTGGTCCCCGAAGCTGTTCCCTTTGGTGCTGCTCAGGATGATAAGGCAGGCTCTGCGAGGAGGCAGCGATGGTGCATTCATGGGAGATGTTCCCATCTGAGGGAGCGCTGCCCTCCCATTCCCTTTTGAATTGTGGAATTTCAATAGGCACCGGGAGCCAAGGAAAATGTGAAAGCGGAGCTGCTACCGGCACCTCTGCAGGAGAAGCCAAACAAAGGCAGAGGCTGAAAGAAACCACTCTCCTAGACGATGAGAACTCGCCTTTGAAGGAAACTTTAAATAGATGCCAGCCAGTTCTGGCGTGCCAGCAGCCAGAGCCAAGAAAAGAAAGAGGGGGGAAGCCTCCCCAAGTGTCTCCAGCTTTGGAGAAGAGCAGCTTTCCCTGCTGCAGCAAGAATGGCGTTAGAGAAAGCAGCTCCAGAGCCTGCTGGAGTGGCAGGGTGGGAAAGGGGAGGGGAAGGACTGGGACCAGAAGCCAACTGGCAGCCAGACTGGGAGGATATATTCCAAGCAGCAGTTCTATAATAACCTGCCTGTCTCTAGTGCCTTTATTTCTCCCTCGGTTTGTTTTCTTCCTTTTGTTCATTTGATGGGGTGCCCTGCCTCGCTCCCCGCTGAGCAGTTACTGCCTGGTTTGCACAGCTGCTGTGCCTTCACTTCGTGCAGCAGCTGGACCAAGGAGAGCCTGGCAGGGAGGGCTGGGACCTCCTGCTGCCCAGAAATGAGGTGGTGCCTCTAAATCCTCCCTGGAACACAGTGCTTGGAGCATCCTCTGCTCCCTTCTGCTGCTCCAGGGTTTGTGTTTCGTGGCAGCCCCTGCCCGTGCTGAGCAGGAGGAATTGTTCTGGTTTCAGAGGTGGCTCAGATTTATGGAAAGAACCGTAGTGGCTTTTATGAGGATATGGAAATGTAAGGCATTATTTAGAGGACCCTTTAGCTGTGTCAAAGAGGGGAAGAAAGGAAGGAGAGTCCCTCCATCTGAGTAATAAAACCTCTTATGAATATGGGAGCCACTCAGCTCTACATTCAATAGTTGTTTTTTGGTTTGGTTTTTTTTTTTTTTTTTTTTTTCCTTGTAAGTAATAATTCAAAAAAGTAGAGCTGGAGCAATGGGAATGGCATGCAGGGAAGGCAGGGTGGAGAAAGATACTCTGGAGGGCTCAGCCTGGAGTACGTCCTTGCTGCACAACAGTGTGAAATATAGTATCAATTAAAGCTTCCCATTTTTACAGCCTGTGAGAGGTTATATACGGTGTGGGTGGATGTTTGTACTTTAGTGTGAGAGGTGGGAGAGATCCTCCAGTGGTGCAGGGGGAAGCAAGAGCTGCATTTAGCAAGGAGTTTGTAGGGCTTTGTTTTATAAGTGGAAATAAAGCAAAGGGCATAAAGCAGGTTTTTGTCAAAGACACCTCGGGCATTTACAGCCTTCTTCCCTCCTCCTCTGAGATGTGTGCCAGGGAAGGTGTGGTGATCCCTCTGCACCTGGCTGGGCTGTGGGATGGGCGTAGAGTGGTGCACAGAGCGTGGTGTGGGCAGGAAGGGTCCTCATTTGGGATCAGAACCCTGTGTGGGCAGGCAGGGTCCTCATTTTGGGATCAGAGCTCTGTGGGCAGGCAGGATCCTGCTGTGGGATCAGAGATTGGTGGGGCAGGCAGGATCCTGCTGTGGGATCAGAGCTCTGTGGGCAGGCAGGATCCTATTGTGGGATCAGAGCTCTGTGGGCAGGCAGGGTCCTGCTGTGGGATCAGAGCTGTGTGGACAGGCAGGGTCCTCATTTGGGATCAGAGCTCTGTGGGCAGTGTCCCCACCCTGACAAGCTGCCCGTGTGTTGGCTCTGTCCCTCCTGCAAGCGTGGATGAACTCTCCCAGGATGAACACTGCCCTGAGAGCAAACCAGCTCCCCCCTTGCACGACCAAGAGGCAAACACAAGTGGAATTTCTACCCGAGACCGTGCTTTGGGTTGGAGAATCTGACAAGATGGCAGAGGTGGAGGGAGCTTCTTTTTGTTTGTTCTGCTAATCTCTGTGCATCTGCGTCTGCCTGCCTGAAGGATGCCGTGCTGTCCTTGCCACGCAGCTGATCAGTAATTGTTTCATCTGCAGATTATTTCCTACCTTCCCCCACCACTGTTTCCTCCAAGATGCTGCTGAATTGGATGCTGCTATTAGCAGCCTGTGTTAATTTTCCCTGAAGACTGCTCTGCAGACTGCAATTGTTGGGACTCACAACAACTTCTCATTTTGGTTTTAATTAAATGTGTTGCTTTAAATTGTTTGTTTTTGACATTTCCTCCTCAATCTTCTGCAACTCTTGGAGGTCACCAAGCATTACCTCGTGCCCTCAGGGCATTCAGGATGTGCTGCACAGAGATGAGCCACGGGAGGTGGGGGACTGGCTGTGTCCCCCATCCCCTTTGGCAGCAAGGAGAAGCTGCAGACACTCTTTTGATTTACAGGTGAAGCTCCCCAGGTTTGTACCAGAAGGATGGAGAAAGAGATCTGGTCTCAAAAGCTATCTCAGGTCAGACTGGATGGAGCTCTGAGCAATCTGTTCCAGTGGGAGGGTGTCCCTGTCCATGGGACAGGGATGGAACAAGATGATCTTTAAGGTCCCTTCCAACCCAAAGCATTCTGTGATGCTGTGATCTTTTCAGAAATATTCTGAAACTGGGGTCT